TCCATTATTAAGCAGCCACCAACTCGATAGACTGAGGAGTTTGTCACATTTTTCAGTTGACCCAGCGTTAGCCAGCTTTCTAAAAGTTGTACATTGTTCACATCTTTAAGTGTATTACATTAACCTTTCCACTCTAGAGAAAACTGAAACTAAAACGTTTTGGCTGGAGATACTCATTGAAGATGGTTTTTTAGTTTAAGGTCTTTCATGTTCGGACCTTCCTGCAACAGTATACAGCAACCTTTCAACTTTTTTATCCCTGAGGAGCCCTTGGACTCATTTTTACATTGGTGAATGGTAAGAATGTCCCCTTACATTGGTGGTCACTGGGAAGAATGCCCCTCTACATTGGTGATCGGTGGGAAGAATATCACTTACATTGGTGATCAATGGGAGGAACGTCCCTTACATTGGTGAACGGCAGGAAGAATGTCCCTTACATTGGTGATCAGTGGGAAGAATGTCCTTTACATCGGTGACCAGTGGAAAGAATGTCCCTTCATTGGTGATTAGTGGGAAGAATGTCCCTTCATTGGTGACCAGTGGGAAGAATGTCCCTTACATTGGTGACCAGTGGGAAGAATGCCCATTACATTGGTGGTCAGTGGGAAGAATGCCCATTGCATTGGTGGTCAGTGGGAAGAATGTCCCTTACATTGGTGACCAGTGGGAAGAATGCCCATTACATTGGTGGTCAGTGGGAAGAATGTCCCTTACATTGGTGATCAGTGGGAAGAATGCCCATTACATTGGTGACCAGTGGGAAGAATGCCCATTACATTGGTTATTAGTGGGAAGAATGCCCCTTACATTGGGGGTCAGTGGGAAGAACGTCACTTACATTGGTGATCAGTGGGAGGAACGTCCCTTACATTGGTGATCAGTGGGAGGAACGTCCCTTACATTGGTGATCATTGGGAAGTATGTAACTTACATTGGTGACCAGCGTAAAAGAATGCCCCTTCATTGGTGATCAGTGGGAAAAATGCGCCCTTACATTGGTGACCGGTGGGCTGAAGAATGCCACTTATATTGGTGATCAGTGGGAAGAAGGTCTCTTACATTGGTGGTCAGTGGGAAGGTGGTCTCTTACATTGGTGGTCAGTAAGAAGAATGTCCCTTAAATTGGTGATCGGTGGGAAAAATGACCCTTACATTGGTGATCAGCGGATGAATGCCACTTACATTGCTGACTGGTGGAAAGAATGCCACTACATTGGTCACCGGTGGGAAGAATGTCCCTTACATTGGTAGTCGGTGGGAAGAATGTCCCTTACATTGGTGATCAGTGGGAAGAACGTCCCTTACATTGGTGATCAGTGGGAAGAACGTCCCTTACATTGGTGACCTGTGGGAAGAATGTCCCTTACATTGGTGACCCCTGGTGATCAGTGGGAAGAATGCCTCCTTACATTGGTGATCCGGTGGGTGGGAAGAATGTCCCTGTCAGGGCTCCCAGGTGTGACCAGAGGTGTGTGGCTGACGCAGGGAAACGCAGACCTCAGATATGTTATAAACAATATAATTTATTAACACTAACAATACAAACATAAACGCAGTGCAATACTAAAACATAATACAGTGCAACCAAACCAAACCAAACCAACCACCCACAGATAACAGTACATACAAGCAAGCGTCGTCAGGCAGGCCGGGTCAATATCAATAGGGCAGGTAGGTACAGGGGGAGCAAGCGGAGATTGGTCGGGGTCACAGGCCAGGTTCAGCAGGTAGCAAGCAGCGTAGTACAGAGGGTCAGGCAGAGGGATGGTCAGGGTCACAAGCCAGGGATCAGAACAGGTAGCAAGCAGCGTGGTACAGAGGGTCAGGCAGAGGGATGGTCAGGAGCGAGCCGGGATCAGAGCAGGAGAAGTCAGCAGCGGTTCAGAAACAGGATGCAGGACAGAAACAGGATACAGGGCCCAGGACAAACACAACACCAAGGCAGAGTCTGTGGGTCTGGCCATCCCTTAAATACCCCAGCATAATCAGTTCCAGGTGTTAGCTGGCTGCAAAGTTGAGTCTCCGATTGCTGGGAGCATCCACTGGCCAGCCCTGGTACTGCAGATCAAAAGGCAGGTGAGTCCCACCATTGCTGGCCAGTCCATTCCTGACAGTCCCTTACATTGGTGACCTGTGGGAAGAATGCCCTCTTACACTGGTGATCTGTGGGAAGAATGCCTCCTTACACTGGTGATCCGTGGGAAAAATGACACTTACATTGGTGACCAGTGGAAAGAATGCCACTGCACTGGTGATTGGTGGGAATAATGCAACTTACATTAGTAAACAGTGGGATGAATACCCATTACATTGGTGACCAGTGGGAAGAATGTCCACCTTACAGTGGTGGTCAGAATACTAGTCTTACATACAGCTGAAAAAATCTTTGGTTTCATACAGTTGGCTCTGCCAAGTTGGCCCTATAACCATTAAATGAAAGATCAATCAGCCACAGCTTAAGGAACCCCTAGCAACCTTTGGAGAAACCCTAGAGTTTCATGAAACCCTGGTTGAGAATAGCAGGTGTTCAGTATAAATGATAGAGCAACTACAATGGTTTTATTCTTTCAGGAAGCCACTTTTCCTCTGATGCCAGTTATGTGACCGAATGTCAAATCCCATAGGCAATTATGCCCTAAGTCCTATCCTCCCCTTTGGTGAAATCATATAACTGATACCACGATAGTGTTACATTAGAAAAGGGTATTTACTGTATGCATATAGTGGGTTAAGAAGATCAGGATCATAGGAGGGGCTACCAGAATAAAGATCTGCTCTTACCTTTGGGCATTGTGTGTGAGCACACCGAATTACTGAGGTTTTGTTCTCATTGTAGAGGTGCAGTACACGACAAAATATAGTTTCATAAAAACAGTATTGTCTGGCTTTAATGATCACATTAGCTATTCTACTCTGCTTGTGCAAGCTAACATTGGAGAGAAGCTTAGTCACAGTGAATGATACCATGGAAACTTGATCCTGGAGGATCCAAAACCTTAAAAACCTGTAAACATCGCGTAAACATGACTGTTCTCACTCTAAAAGCTACATTTCCTGGCTGTCAAGCTAAATTTGGGTTGCAAAACTTGTAGACTATGTGCAATGTGGTGTGTGGGGCAGTGAGCACACACACACACAGACTCCAAATTTTTCAAAAGCAATGTATTGCAGAAAAGTTTAGCAAGCACAAACAAGCCCAGCAGAAAGGCACACCCGTCCAAAGCCACTTCCAATGTATATAGCGATGGAACAGCGGTCTGGAGACCCGACGATGCTGACAGCGTCTGCCACGGGGAGCAAAATGCAGCATGGCCAGTCCAAACCAAGGGGTAGGAGATAGATATGGTCCCTGCACTCCCTACTCCTCTGGAACCTTACCCTATATCTAAGCACTGTCCCTAACAGATGGGGAACCTCTCCTTTCCCTAGCAACTCACATAAAGCGAGGCCAAGCCCAGGATTTGGTTTCTTAAATAGACTCTTTCTGACCCAAGATGGCTACCAGAGTCAAATGGGGCCCCAGCATCCAATTGGATAGCTGCTCCAGAGTGACCAAGGAAACATAGAGGAACCAAGTTCCCCTCAACTCCCCCCCTCCCCCATCTGCATTGCTGCTGTGGTCAAGCGCCACCTGCAGTGGAGAATACAGACTACACCTACCTATAAACAGAGTCCCTGACCTGGAGCTAGTATATGAAAAGGGACATGGGACCTGTCACTGATATTCCTGATCTGAAAGACCGCATTAATATGGAGGTTAAAAGGTGCAGTGATGTGCAGCAGGGTTGTCAAGTTATTCTTCTTTCCATATTTCTCTTTTTCTTTGAGGATAATCTGATCTACATTTGTGTCAGTGTCTTTAGCCTCACCACTGCCTATGCATGCATTTTATATTTCTAGAATTCCTCACCTCTATCAAACCATGATTTCTTTAATTCCTTGAGAAAGCCCCTTTGGATGCAACAAATCAGGGAAGCCTGGGGACATCATTACACTCGGTCAGCCTCACACCAGGAGGTCCACAATGATCCTCTGGGTGGCCATTACAGTCTGTGTAGTTTTGAGAGAAGGAGTGTCACCCACCTTTTCAAGCTTTTATGGCCTTCTTAAAAAGTGAGGAATCTTGGTGTAAGCTTGTCCATTCATTGGGGTGAAGGTGAATGTTGGAAATTATTGGTGACAGCGGATATTAGAAAATTCATCTTTATTTGTAAACACTTATTAAAAATGTGTTGATATTTTAGATATACCTGAAGTTTTGGGACATGTAATGGTGGTCACAATTTTGGGTTTAGCATATGGCTTTTAGAGGTAGTAATGATAACACTGTATTATTACTTATATGTGTCACATGATTTCAGTATTGGATTGGATTATTTTCTTGGTTTATAGGAGCACTACAATTTCTGTATAGTATATGAGCTGGGAAGGAAGATTTCTCTTCCTTTTTTTAGCAGCAGTTTTTTTTGCAATTATCTCTAGTTATATATCTTGTAATGGTAATTTGGCGAGTGCTTGATCGCTTGGGTTTTGGTTTTAGGAGGGTGTCTATGGGAAGGTTTGACCATTTCTTCCAGAAGAGCATTTGTCAGGTCAGGCACTGATGTCGGAGAAGAAGGCCTGGTGTGTGTCTATGGGAAGGTTTGACCATTCTTCCAGAAGAGCATTTGTGAGGTCAGGCACTGATGTTGGGTGAGAAGGCCTGGCTCGCAGTCTCCACTCATCCCAAAGGTGTTCTATTGGGTTGAGGTCAGGACTCTGTGCAGGCCAGTCAAGTTCCTCCACCCCAAACTGGCTCCTCCATGTCTTTATCCTTGCTTTGTGCACTGGTATGCAGTCATGTTGGAACAGGAAAGGGCCATCCCCAAACTGTTCCCTCAATGTCTTGGTATGCTTACACCTTAAGAGTTCCCTTCACTAGAACTAAGGGGCCAAACCTAACCCCTGAAAAATAACCCCACACCATAATCCCCCCTCCACCAAACTTTACACTTGGCACGTCCATTGGATTGCCAGACAGAGGCGCGTGATTGGTCACTCTAGAGAACACGTCTCCACTGCTCTAGAGTCCAGTGGCGGCGTTCTTTACACCATGGCATCCGACGCTTTGCATTGCACTTGGTGATGTAAGGCTTGGATGCAGCTACTCGGCCATGGAAACCCATTCCATGAAGCTCTCTATGTACTGTTGTTGTGCTAATCTGATGGCCACACCAAGTTTGGAGGTCTTTAGATATTGACTCTGCAGACAGTTGGCGACTTCTGCGCACTGTGCGCTTCAGCATGCGCTGACCCCCGCTCTGTCATTTTACGTGGCTTCCACTTTGTTATAATCCCACTAACAGTTGACCGTGGAATATTTAGTAGCAAGGAAATATCATGGATGGACTTATTGCACAGGTGACAACCTATCACGGGACCACGCTTGGAGTCACTGAGCTCCTGAGAGTGACCCATTCTTTGACAAATGATTGCAGCAGCAGTCTACATGCCTAGGTGCTTGAATTTATACACCTGTGGCCATATATATATTTTTACTTTTTTTGGCGATTTGGATAGAAGCATATTCATTGTGGTGTATTATACATACTGTTTATGGGGGTTGTATAAGGGTAGTAGGCAGGGGCGGACTGACAACTCATGGGGCCCCTGGGCAATAGGGGATCATGGGGCCCCTGTGTCCTTGCCCAAACTCAAAAAAGCCTATGAAAAAGGTACCAGGGGCATCTCATGGGGCCCCCTACTGACCCCGGGCCCTCGGGCAGTTCCCAAGTTTCCAAATGGTCGGTCCGCCCCCGTGGTAGTAGGGACTTGGTGCTGTGTTATTGAACATGTTTTAGCACTTTAGAATATTGCTGAAACATAACTATGTGACTGGTGTGTGCACCAGGAAAAGCCACCCTGATGAATAAGGTTGATACTGTATATAAATAATCATTCAACTTTCTTGATTTTCCATTAACAGCCCCCCGTTTTATTTTCCCACATGCGGTGGCCGGCCTCATGGACGGTGGCAGCAGGTTATTTAAGTCATGGGTTTAGGTTTCAGCATTTTAAGAATGTCTCAGCACACATTCTTCAAGTTCTGCAGAACGTTTACCATAATCCTTTGAGGTACGCGGGTATTTCTGTAGAAATGCGATGCCTTTTTCTCTTTGCTCCATTTCTATAATGTCCTTCGCAGCACTTCACCCCCGACATGGACAGACAACAGCTGGCGGTGTATACTTAGCTCAGGGTGAACTCGGTTTCCTGCCTCTAATCTTCACACTAGAGCAAAATGCTGCTGCTACTTGGTTATCCCACATTCAGTATATGAGATACCACCTTTATCACTAGACCTAGGAAAGGGAGATTACCACTATGGTCTAACATCATGGATAGTGTGGGTCTGTAACTCTACAGACGTGAGGTGGACTATGGTCTGTAAAGTTCCAGTTGTTAGGTTGCCTGGAGGACATGTAACCTTCTAGCAGTTTGGTGTCCTGGAGACCTGTAACCTTGCAGCTGTTGGGTGGGCCTGGAAGACCTGTAACCTTCCAGCAGTTTGTGTCCTGGAGGACCATTAACCTTCCAGCTGTTGACTGACCTAAGACTAGATGACCTGTAACTACCCAGCTTTAAAGGGCAAGAAAACTGTGCATTTCCAGCTGTTGAGTGGCCCAGGAAACTTGTATCTTTCCAGCTGTTGAGTGGCTAAGGTGACCTATAACCTTTCTGCTGTTAAGTGGGCCAGGGGACCCACAACCTTTCAGCTGTTGAGTGCACCAGGGGGCCTGTAACATTCCAATTGTTGAATGGCCCATGAGACCTGGCCTTTCAGCTGCTGGGTGGCCCAGTGGACTTGTAACCTTCTGGCTTTTGAGTGGCCCAGGGAGCCTGTAACCTTCTGGCTATTGGGTGGCCTGGAAAAGACATGTAATATTCCAGGTAAAATTCCAGGTGTTGTGTGGCCTAGAAGACCTGTATCTTTCAAGCTGTTGAGTGGCTCAGAAAACTGTAAATTTCCAGCTGTTGAGTGGGCCAGGGAACGTGTAACTTTCCAGCTGTTGAGTAGGTAAGGGGATTCATAACCTTCCAGTTGTTGAGGGACCCAGGGGACTCATCACCTCTCAGATGTTCAGTGGGCCCCGGGACCCGTAACATACCATCTGTTGAATGGCCCAGGGGACCTGGCCTTCCAGCTGTTGGGTAGCCCAGTGGACTTGTAACCTTATGACTGCTGAATGGCCCAGGGAGCCTGTAACCCTATAGCTGTTAGGTGGCTCAGTGGACCTGTAACCTTTCAGAGATTGGATGGCCCAGTACACTTATAATCATCCAGATGATAGGTGGCCCAGTGGACAAATAACCCACCAACTCTTGTGTGGCCCAGAGACCTGCATTCCACAAGATGGTCAGTGGATTGAGGACCTTGTAACCTTCCAGCTGTAGATAAGTGATCTCAGGAACAGATGCCCAGGTAGAGAAGGCCCTCACTTTTCTTCTCACCTCCTTTGCCCTCAGTTCTAAAGCACTTTTAAAATTTCGTATATTTAGTATAAAATGAACAAACAAAAAGAACACATAAAAATGTACAAACTAAAGAAAAAATAGCGAAGAGAATGAGTAATAAAGAAGGATTAAAATTATTGTTTAAAATTCTAAAATATTGTTGCAATGCATTTACAAAAGAAACTTTGCCACCTGAAATTTCCATCAGGGATGTGACAGGGGGACACTTGGGGGAGAGTTGTCCCCCAGTTACAGGAGATGCCTAAAAAAGGATCTTCATGACAGGATAGCTGGGTATTATTTATTAAAAGCTGCAGATTTTAAATAAATTTAAATTTTTTGAAATGCTGTTAACGTTCATACGTGATTTCATTGATTTTATTTTTTCTGTTTTAAACAACTTGGCTTAGACAGTTGATATTTCATGACCATTCAATATCTAAATCATTCCTCTGAGCCCTGTCCCTTTCAATTTAATGTGCTATATATCAGGTCTGGGTGTTCGCAAAATGTCATAAATTTGCTTCTGAGCTCTATTAAAAGCAGTTGTCCCCAATAAAAGCATCGATATATATCTGTCACAGGAGCTTCACCTTGCCTATATTTGTCACCGCCGCTTCTCCCTGCCTCTACTCCGAGAAATCTTTATCCACATTTCTTTACAAGATCCAATTACTGCAGTTTAGCAAGTTTATTATACAGCAGTAGACATAAATATATATGTTACATTGCTGATCACCTGTTCACTTACTATGGAAAGTAGAAATCTTCGAAAGAAAAATGAAATAGAATACATGTACTGCATAAACATAGGAGCCTGGGAGATGAGTTTATTATCTGTACTTACTTTTCTAACATTACAGAATGGGATTTCTTTTGTCACTACTGAGCAATAGTACGGTATTTATTTTGTATATCAACTTCTTTTTTACAAACACACTGTGTGTGTAATATATATACACACACACACACACACACACACACACACATACATACACATATACATATACACACACACATATACAGTGGGGATCGAAAGTTTGGGCACCCCAGCTAAAAATTTGTATTAATGTACATAAAGAAGCCAAGGAAAGATGGAAAAATCTCCAAAAGGCATCAAATTACAGATTAGACATTCTTATAATATGTCAACAAAAGTTAGATTTTATTTCCATCATTTACACTTTCAAAATAACAGAAAACAAAAAAAATGGCGTCTGCAAAAGTTTGGGCACCCTGCAGAATTTATAGCATGCACTAACCCCTTTGCCAAGCTGAGACCTGCCAGTGTCATGGATTGTTCTCAATCATCGTCTGGGAAGACCAGGTGATGTCAAGCTCAAAGGTTTTAAATGCCCAGACTCATCTGGCCTTGCCCCAACAATCAGCAACATGGGTTCTTCTAAGCAGTTGTCTAGAAAACTGAAACTGACAATAGTTGATGCTCACAAAGCTGGAGAAGGTTATAAGAAGATAGCAAAGCGTTTTCAGATGTCAATATCCTCTGTTCGGAATGTAATTAAGAAATGGCAGTCATCAGGAACAGTGTAACTTAAAGCAAGATCTGGAAGACCAAGAAAAATATCAGACAGAACAGCTCGCAGGATTGTGAGAAAAACATTTCAAAACCCACGTTTGACTGCACGATCCCTCCAGAAAGATCTGGCAGACACTGGAGTTGTGGTACACTATTCCACTATAAAGAGATACTTGTACAAATATGGTCTTCATGGAAGAGTCATCAGAAGAAAACCTCTTCTACGTCCTCACCACAAAAATCATGGTTTGAACTTTGCAAATGAACATATAGACAAGCCTGATGCATTTTATAAACAAGTTCTGTGGACCGATGAGGTTAAAATTGAACTTTTTGGCCGGAATGAGCAAAGATACGTTTGGAGAAGAAGGGGCACAGAATTTAATGAAAAGAACCTCTGTCCAACTGTTAAGCATGGGGTTGGATCAATCATGCTTTGGGGTTGTGTTGCAGCCAGTATCACAGGCACAGGGAACATCTCACGAGTAGAAGGAAAAATGGATTCAATAAAATTTCAGCAAATTTTGGATGGTAACTTGATGCCATCTGTGAAAAAGCTGAAGTTAAAGAGAGGATGGCTTCTACAAATGGATAATGATCCTAAACACACCTCGAAATCCACGGGGGATTACATCAAGAGGCGTAAACTGAAGGTTTTGCCATGGCCTTCACAATCTCCTGACCTCAACATAATTGAAAATCTATGGATAGACCTTAAAAGAGCAGTGCGTGACAGACAGCCCAGAAATCTCAAAGAACTGGAAGACTTTTGTAAGGAAGAATGGGCAAAGATACCTCAAACAAGAATTGAAAGACTCTTGGCTGGCTACAAAAAGCGTTTACAAGCTGTGATACTTGCCAAAGGGGGCAGTACAAGATATTAACTCTGCAGGGTGCCCAAACATTTGCAGACGCCATTTTTTTGTTTTCTGTTATTTTGAAAGTGTAAATGATGGAAATAAAAATCTAACTTTTGTTGACATATTATAAGAATGTCTAATCTGTAATTTGATGCCTTTTGGAGATTTTTCCATCTTTCCTTGGCTTCTTTATGCACATTAATACAAATTTTTAGCTGGGGTGCCCAAACTTTCGATCCCCACTGTATACACATATACAACACACACATATATATATATATATATATATATACACACACACACACACACACACACATATATATACACATATACACACACACATATATATATATATATATATATATATATACACACACACACACACACACACACACACACACACACACACACATATATATATATATACACACATATATTTATATATACACATACATACAGACCCATACAGGTGTAATTTTTTCAGGGAGCACAATACAAATATACTGGAACAAACATGAGCTGCATGGTTGAGTTGTCAGAAAGAAGACTTTTCAGTGCCAATGTTACAAAAAGCCCAGTTACCATATACCTGCCAACACCTTGAC